AATTTAAGTTCTTCAAGTCATCAATCAATCCTTTCATTTATGTGATAGGCCTGCATTAAAAATAGATATTTACCACAAATTATAGGTATCTTATCTTATTAGATACATTATTATAAAACATATTTTAGTTAAGGAGTTATTGATACTTCAAGTGCAAAATGATGATATAAAACCATGATAAAAATGCACTTTTAAGTACTAATGACCAGACCATCATTATCAATGGCGAGTCATGCCTTTTGGTCTCAAAGTGGCACCCTTATTATTTCAAAAGGCCATGATTAAAGTATTTGAACTCATGCTTTGATCAACTTTAATCGATATTGACGATGTGTTACTTTTCTCTAAAGATGAGGAGTTACATGCTACTTTGTTAAAAAAATTTATAGAAATTGTTCATCACCATAGTATTATACTTTTTTCAAAGCTAGATGTTCATCTATTATAAGAAAATCGAATTTCTTGGCATGATCTTTGCAGATGGTGCTTATACATCTAACACCTATATAATTGAAAAACTCCAAAAGTTTTCAAATGGCCCCTTCATGTGAAAGCAAGTCCAATAGTTTTTGGAATTGTCCAATATCTCAGAAATTTTATCCCTAGAGTTGCATAGATGATGAGGCCATTTCAACTCATACTCAAGAAAGATGCGGACACTTGGATAGAAAAATACTCAAGTAATTAGATAATTAAAGATAGCCATAAAAAATTTACCTGCTTTAGTCATTCCTTCAACAGGACGACGCATACTCTAAACTGATGCTAGTGACAAGTATTAGAGTGTTGATTTCCAAAAAAATAAAGATGGCCACCGACGTATATATGGCTACAAAAGTGGGTTATTCAAGGAGTCAAAAACTTATTACCTCTCCATTTTTAAGGAAATCTTAGTTGTAAAGTATGGCATCCAAAAATTTAAGTTTCACTTGGTAGCTTAACACTTTATAGTTGTCATAAATTGTTCCTCCTTTCCAAAATACTACAGTTCAAGTATAAGATGCTTCCTCATCCAAAGTTTTTGAGATTAATTGAGTGGTTTTCTAATTACACCTTCACCGTCGAGCATATAAAAAGAAACAAGAATTTGATCCCAAACATGCTCACCAGACCACCCAAATCACAAACACTACTCCTTTTCCTGATTCTTATGGCCTCCTCTTCCAATCCTCCTCCACCTAAACAAGATTTCCCTGTAAAATGACTTACGTCCTTTTGCTCAAGAAATGGTTCTTAAACACACTTTTGACCTTCAGGCAAAAGACAAACTATTTAGCCTCTAAAACTACCTTCTTTTCAACTATGATATGTCTTCCCTTTATCTCCAAAGCCTAGGCATCCATCTTAAATATCCTTTTATTTACCTTTTCACCTTCAAACTTGCTGGATTGTTCTTTATAGAACTCTACTTTTTCTTATGGTATTTTTATCACCTATATCATACTGCTATCGAGTTTTCTACTGATTTCTTTCGTTCCAGATTTCTTAGGACATCTTGGCTGGCAAACTCGTGGAACTATACTCTAAAGTTTCTCACTTGGTTCTACAACCCCACACAATGGATCTCTTTTCTCCTACAGGAAAAATCCAAATGGCTCCATGCATGAACATATTAGATTGAAGTACACCACACTACATTTCATAATAAATTTGTTAAGCAAGCTTTTTCCCATCTATTCTTTATTTTCATATTCTATAGGCCTTTTAAAGCTTCAGCAGACAATCTTGTTATGAGTTTTCCACAGGTTGCAGTATACAAAACTTATCCATACTCCTTGTTGAAAACCCCTTAGATAACCTCCCGGATATTAGGACCTTGCAAAAAACCATGTGCCTTAAAAACAACATTATTCTTGATGAAATATAACCTAAAGGAACAAATCCTAATGAAAAAAATGATTATGATCTATATGACCCTCAATATTTTGCTCATCCTCATAACTTGCAGATGCAGTATAAAAACAAAAAAATTCAAGTAGATAATTTTGGGGATACTAATTAGTATTTAAAAGTGTATTTTTATAAAGCTTTTATATCATTCTTTTGCACTTGAAGTATCAATAACTCCTTAACTAAAGCATGTTTTATAATAACATATCTAATAATATAAGATACCTTTAATAGGTAGTAAATATTTATTTTAAATGTAGGCCTATCACAT